GACTTTATTATAACGAAGCCACCTTCAGAGCTCATGGCTACATCATTTTTTTAGAGGAGTCCTTTTTAAAAGCACTTTCCAGTACATTTATCTAGTTGCAGGCTATAATACAATTACCATTCGTGATATACATGAGACTTTAATTAACCTATTGTCACCTTTCCCCGCCCATCCTAACCTCCCGCGCAGCCGTTTTCAGGGGAGCTCGTTTTTCATCCCTCCCCACGAACGCCTGCTGAACCGAAGACAACATTCCTTTCCCATGCTTAGCCAGTCACATTGTACTTTCCAAATTTTGGAAAGTTGACCTTGACCGCAATCCCATCCATCCATCCATCCCCCTCCCCCTTTCGTTCAAAAAGTGGACACAGGTTTTGATTGAGCACGTGCGGAAATGCACCTGTAGTAAATATTTTCCTAACGTCTCAAACGCAAAGTAAAATATTAATCCTCCTGCGTAGGCTCAAAAAGAGCATAAGTTTGAACAAAAAGAGTTTGGCGAAAAAAATACTCAGCTGCTCACAAAAGGGAAAAGGTGATACAAGAGCTGTTGATATAAGAGTCAATAAGATATTTATTAACTTCACGCCTGACAAAAAGTAAAGGGAAATCAGCAAATGTGTGTTTGCCCTCGCTTTTGTCATATGCTTCACATTCATCAGCGTCATGAGTCAACAAAAAGGGCGCGAAAAGCTATGCTGGTCACATTGCTAACAGATATTTAGCAGTCAACATTGTTTTCGAAATGAAATCTCTAATTCTTCTCCTTTATCTCGGAGCGGTAGTCTTTACTTTGGCTGAGAATCCATTTGAGGATAAGGCAGTGCAAAAATACGTAGATGCAGGGGAGGGTGAAACCATTGCCGAGCTTGCTGATGAAGACCGTCCCCGTCCAAGTGGTCGTCTTCCAAGATGGCTGGTGAGATCTCCTCACTTGTCTCCATTTTTAAACAGGCTACTGGGATGTGGAGAATTAGCTTAATTTGTTTAAGGTTCCTTTCAACGCCCTTATAAAATTGGTTCTAAACAGTATGGCAAAGTCCCCCAACAAGTGTTGTAAATTATCTCTGAAAAGCCCTGAGGGGAGTGGATAATAAGACATTTACAATTTACAATTTACAGTTCTCTGTGTGGAGTCTCGGGAGTGCGTAGAGAGAATTGCGTATTTTATTTGGTTAATGTCTTAGCGCGATAATCGTTCTGTCAAAAATATTGCTGTCGCTTGTTTCTGATGATTGGCATCAAACGAAAAATGATGGCATCAGGGATTAATAGAATCCCAGCAAACGGTGTTTTTATATGAACAGTAACGTACCATTGAGCTATAATTATAATTGTAAAACTCACATAGTTTTATTGTTTTCTCTTAAAAAAAGTGCAAACATATCATATGGCAATGCAATAGGCCGCCCCACAATCCCATCAAGGTAAGATCTTTCTTGTCTTCATTTTGTACACTTGAACTTGGATGTCGAGACGTAGTTTTACAGCAAAAGTATTTAGTTTGGTGTAGTTAACTTACATTCAATTGTTTTTATACGAATACCGTAAAATTCCGAAAATAAGCCCGGGGCTTATATTTTTCAAAGACCCTTTTTGAAGGTCTTATTTTTGGAGGGGCTTATGTTCGGAGGGGCTTATCTACGGAGGGAAATTTGCGTTTCAAAATTGATTGGGCTGGCCTTATAGTTGGGAGGAAATTTACCGGTTTTGGTTTGTTTTACTTTGTACTTGAGGGCAATTTTAAAAGCACAGGCCCTCGGGGGGGCTTATATTTGGAGGGGCGATTTAAAGGAGAGTTTTTTGCGTTACCGGTTTGGGGAGATTATATTTAGAGGGGCTTATTTTCGGAATTTTACGGTGTTAGGGGGTGTTTACATGAGAAAACTCGCACCGGCGCGAGTTTCATACCGGGATGACTTTTTGATTTCGTATCGCGTTTACATGCTGACTGGGTCATTTCATATCTCATATTTGAAGGTACACTTACACTTACACATGTTGATAAAATGCACGAGTGATTCAAAGTGGCAAACATCACGCATACGCTACCCGTTCCAATCTACTGGCAGACCGATTTGACACCGAAACGGGTGGTCGTTTCGAGTTTACATGATACAGTTGCGAGATTTCGTAACGGAATGAAATTCTCTCCCTGGTACAAGAACGGGGGTGAACTCACGCCGGGGTGACTCGCACCGGCATGACATTTGTGGTGGTATCATGTAACCAAATATAGAGCCATGAGAGGGAACCAGAGAGAACTCGCTCCGATGCGAAAGTCGCCCCGGTGTCATGTAAACACCCCCTTATATACATGTGTTCATGGTTTCTCGGCGAGCTCTTTTGGCGTTTTTCAGCAGCGGTAGTGATTACCCTTTTGTAAAGAAAGTTGCCATAGTTTTTTCAATGATTGGCGTCAAATGATAAAGAGAGGAAACTTCAGTCAATGAAAATCCTGGATAAGAAAAGGAAATCAACAAAGTTTTTAAGCATCGTACCCGGCGAAGTCTTAAAAAACTCACTCAGTTTATTTTCTTTTTCACGCAGAAAAAGATTTGCAAAATACTGGTGGGGTTATGCTTGCCCCGGACAAGTAGTTAAAATTAGACGTCCAAGGCCTTAACAGGGATGTAAAGAAATTAAATGTAGTTGTCAAATTGGGTCGGTGTTACTGTTGATTGAAATAAAGCATTAACAAAGTATCTTGTGGTTGTTTTCATGTACAAGGAATACATAGACCTTTTTATTGAGAAAGCCAAAGCTAATATTAATCACCCTGTTATCAAGTTTACTACTGAAGTATCAGAAATAGAAACTACATTCTCCCAGCGGGAGCTAAAAAAAGGTTTTGTCAAAGGAGAAGGTCTCAGGCTTCTTAGAACAAACTCTTCCAAAGAAGTTAAACATGAAAGGAAGGAAGCTCTCAAGCAAAAATTGAGAACCAGGAAAAGATTCCACTCTTTGTCACGCAGTTTCAACCGTCATTTCCAAACTTTAAAAGCATACGGGCAAATGGCATCTAATACAGAACAAGCCGTGACTTAGAGAAATATTCAAGGAGCTTCACTATTGTTCTCTAATAGGAAAGCAAAGTCGCTAAAGGACATGCTTCTTAAAGCAAACCTTTAATTTAAGGCTCTGAAAGACACAATGCTCGGTAGAGTGAACATGGCCTAAATGTCGTACTATTAATGAAACAGCTGTCTGAATTGATCATGTGACAACTATCCTAGGAGTCACGAGAACTGCGTTTGCAGGAACTCGGTTTTGTGACAATGTAATCGACCCAGGGGAGGTTTTGTGTCCAGCGGTTTTAGTAAAATCAAGGGTTTGTTTGGGTTGCTCAGTCTCGCGGGCTCAAAAACCTCCCTTTGGTAGATCTTATTTTGTATTTGCCCATTTAATGACATCCGTTCTAGCCTCCTACGTGGACGTTCTTATATTAGAGGTTCGTCACACGTTTCTAACGCCTGCTAAAACGAATTCCTTTGCCATTGTCCGCAAATATCAGCTGGAGATCACATGCAGATTATCGGAGATCCAATCGGCACTGTTGAAATCAAAGTGTTGACAAGCCAAACACATATACGTACAAGCTATGTAGAGTGTGATATGTGACCAAAGATTTTTGCTCCGGACGAGAATCTAGGAGATAACCTTTGGCTTTTTGTATATTTCTCTCTGTAAAGGCTGGATTAGATGTCATTTGCTCATAAAGTTGTTGTTTGGGTGACGCAACGACAGAGTTACCTTGTAACTGAACAAAAGGCATAATTTTTTTCACACCTTATTGTTTTGTGGTAAATCCGACTTCCGTTCAGCAAGTTCAACCTATGAGGTAATTTTTTTCAATGAGATTGTGAGGGTAGCCTCTAGTTCGAACGCTTGTGAGTTAACTGTCTGAGTAGTTTTTTCTAAACCTGTAAGGTCTTCACCTTTCATGAGACCTTTCTGATCTTTTCTGGATCGAGCTAAGTCAAGCGTGGAATTTCTCAAGGTCCAAAGTTTACTTCCCAGATCTGGAAGTATGCTGTGATTGGTCGACGTTTTTTTCAGCTCAAATCAGCAGACGTTAGTGGGGCAGGAACGTGTGACGAACCCCTAAGAACGTCTCCGTAGGAGGCTAAATCCTTGCCCACTCTTCATTAGGTCACATGCGTAAACCAGTCTCTATAAATGTTATGTGGTCCATGCAGTGTAAAAGGGCACGTCATACACGACTTTCATAATGGCGGACAGCGCGCCGGACTGTTAACGACGTTTGCACGAAAACGAGGTCTGTAAGGCCTCGACGCTACTATACTCGATGCGCTCGAAACCAAAACAGGGTCAAAAGGTTTCTATTCAGCTGTCAATTGCTTTGTTTAGTTTTAGCTTTTGTCGCGAGCCCTCAAGTTTGTGATATGAATAAATGATTTTACTACGAAAGATGATTGCCAGCTTGTACTTTAAGTAATATACTTTGCCAACAAGTGCGAAGCAATGTTTTTACGGAGCGACCCACGATTTTTAAATGCATTTGAATAAAGTGCTTACTTGAAACTAACTTAACTATATTTCCGGAATACATTGCATGCCCAACCCGTGTTACACCCTCTTACCACAGCAGCAAGTTTATAAACATTGGTAGTAGCAGCAATACCTATAAGTACAATTTTTTTTCTAGAACTCTGAAAGAATGGAACAGTTTACCGCTTTTTTATTAGATCAGACTTCCGTGGAGGCATTTAAATCTGCTCTCACTAATTATTTTAATCTCTCTTATTAATTTTATACATCATTTCATTTTACTATCTATTTATTATCATTATTATAATTTGTTTGTTTGTTTGTTTGTTTGTTTGTTTTTTAGCACATCTTCTTCAACCTTAGCGAATTATAACATATAAAGAAAGAAAGAAAGAAAGAAAGAAAAGATTAGGGAAAACACTTCAATGTGTCCCAGCGTACAAAGGCGTTGCTCTAGATATCTTCATTTCAGATACCTGAGGGTGAGTGTAGTAAAAACACCAGCTGGCAAAAATAACTTGAAAGCTAGTGAGTTGTGCCCCCTGTATTTCCTTGGGTTCCAACCTCGCCACGTAATTAAGAGAAAGGAGCCGACTGTACGGAACTTATAGATACTGCAGTTTCAAGCAGCTTGACTTGCCGAAAATTAGAAACTTCAGATGTGATTATAGACGAAGTAGCGAGCGAAATTCCAGTAAGTACTAGTATGTCAGATATTGAATCAAATGTTGGCCCAAAAAACTTAAGATGTCATGACACAAAATGTATTCACAGACCACGATCTTTACATGTCGGAAAGGATTCAAGAAATGGAACAGGAAATTAAAGAGCTAACGCGTGAATGAGAAGAAATCCAATGGGAAAATGACGCATTTATTAAGAGATTGTTCACACTTGAAAACATGAAATCGAAGGAAACTGCTGCTGCTTTGTATTCTGGTTTTTCCAACTGGGACACATTCATGGCTGTTTACAAATATCTTGATCCTGGAGATAGGGAACAGAACATCTCCTACTGGGGTTCGTTAGATACAGACATCTCAGCTGATCCCAGTACCGTTGAAACGGAGGAGCCACTAGCTAAAACAGTGAGAACTAGACCTTTAAAGCTGGAGGATGAATTTTTAATAGTCATGTGTAGACTAAGGCTGGGGTCTCATGCAGATCACTTATATCACTTATTCGATGTGTCAACTTCCACAGTAAGCAAAATCTTAATAACGTGGATCAACTTTATGTACCTTAAATTTGGACACATTAATATTTGGCCAAGTAGAGAAGTGGTAGAGAGAACCGTGCCCGAAGCATTCAAAAGCAAATACAAATCTACCAGAATCATTATTGATTCTACTGAAATAAGATGTCAAATGCCCAGTAGTTTGCAGTTGAATGGGAAACTCTTCAGTAATTACAAAAATCACACAACATTAAAGGGTCTAGTTGACATTTCACCTGGAGGAGCAATAACATTTGTCAGCCAGCTGCACAGGGGATCTATATCTGATTGGGCAAACTGTCAGGGGAAGTAGATTTTTGGACCTGCCATTCCAGGACAAGGACTCTGTGATGGCAAACAAAGTATTTACAATTGGAGATTTGCTTCCATAGGGGCTATCGCTAAACTTACCACCTTTCCTCGGTGGATCAAGTCAAATGGCTGCAGAAGACAGGCGCGGATCTAGGATAAATACTGACCGATTTCCTAAACGAGCGCCGAAGGCGCAAGCCTCTAGGGGGGTCCAGGGAATGCTTCCCCTTAGGAATTTTTTTCGATTTTATTTCACCAAAGTCTCCTTTCCTGGTTTTCTGAGTCATTCAGACAGGATATTGGCCAGATTTCAAATTGGAAAGTTTTAATTTGATTAAAATATTATATATTTATTTATTTAAAATCTGACCGATTTTCGGAAACGGAAGCACGCTAAAATTAATTGCCGTCTTTTAAGCAGCTTCCGATAGTGTTCAAACCTCTTGGGAACATCTCCGGACATTTAATTTTTGGAATTAAACGTACATATAGTCTTTGGAAATTCGTCTAAAATCTTCGGAAGTCGCCGGGACGTTTTCGGAATTCTCGGTTATGACAAGGTGAAAATTTTTTCGCTCATTTGACCCAGCAAAAGTTGGCAAGCAGGCATTATTGGGACGTTGATCGTAAGAAAGACCAAGAAAAACCGTTCTGAATCATCTCGGTAAATACTTGCAATTGCTTTAATTAGTAACGCCCTCATTAGCAGCCATCGTATGCTGGCGCGTTCTCAGAGAAGCGTAAGTTTCAGATCATAGGTCATTTACAAAAATTAACGGATGGTACATGACACACATGGGTTTTACAGTAAATCATTAACGGAATATCACACTTTGCTGCTAAGATTACCCGTAAAAACGTACATTTGACTGTGTCTGACGAAAAGAGTGGTAGAATGCTATATTAATGGCCTTAAAAACGGGTTTTATAGAAAATAAGGGACAATCAGGCCCTTTGTCAGTTGTCAGTAACACCCAAGGTAAATGTCTGTTGTCAGTTGAATTTTAGGCTATTTGTCAGTTGTCAGTTAGCACCGGTCATTTTTTTTAAATTGCAAAACATGCATTTTAGAGCGTAACTGACGAAATAAATAGGCCCATCTTAAAAACCTAAGTCAAATAGAATAAAAATCTATAAGAAATTCAGACTCAACTGCTCTAAAGGCAGTAACCGAACTTTAACACATTAGGCAGCCATCGATGAATAGCGTTTACTTTAAGGGACGCCTTCCTCAACATTAAATCAAATAAACTGATTTGAGTAACAGAAAAATCTTTAATCATTTTTTTGGCGGCACTGGGAAGAACACGAGATTACGCACAGCTTCCGTTGTCGGTAACCAATTTTAAGGCGCTGCATAAGTTTTTTTTCACGTATGAATTCAGTCATCTGTCAAAATTTTGGAGCGTACCCAAAAGCGTGACAAAGCTAAAAGGAAAGCTTTATTGGAACTTCTACTGTAGTAACTCCAATGGTTGTCGCTAACCTATATCTAGTCACCCTTACGCCAACAAAAACGCAGAATGTACATCTATACTGTGACTAACTTTCCCTCCCTCTTCCCTCCCGTTTCCTTCCTCCAGAGTCTGTGTGGACGGACTATGCTGACACCATAATTAAATTTTCTCCCATCGATAGGTTTCCAATTTCTATAGCAGTGGAGGCTACGCTAAATTTAGTCAAGAGCATTGGGTATAGTATAAAATCTGGACCGGACTCTGGACTCTGGACTCCAGATTTTTTCTCAAGATTTTCCAATGAAAAAAAAAGAGAAAATTCAACTGTTTTTAAAAAAGGAAAATAAAATGAAAATGAAAAATTTTAAAATTTTCAAAAAATAGCGAGCGCCGAAGTACTTTTTAATGTATTTTCTTGTATTAAATCTCCCTGTATTATATATTATAGCAAGGTAATTACTGTGCATGAAATGCATGACAGCAGTCACGATGGGAAAAAAAGAATATGTCACCTCTTGACTATCATGACCGTTTTCCAGGTTCTATTATTTCTTAACATACATTTACCGTCGGTAGCCTATATATCAACATCGAACCCATGGGTAATAAATTCGAGACCGTCAGGGTTACTTTATTTTCATTTCTTTGGTTCCTTTATTAGCGTAAAACATGTAACAGTAAACTCAATTACCTGGCGAGAATCAAGCAAAGACTCCTCCAATGCCTTTCGCGTGGCCTCTTCCTCTTCCTCATACTGACAAAAAAAACTACTGGTGCCCGGTTCAGGAGAAGAATCCATAACTCAGAGTAGAAACGAAAGTCAAGACACGCTTTGAGCAGTGCCGACTACAAAGTGAACAAGAGTGCCCGGCACACCTCGTCTCGCCCAGAATAAACTTTTTCTCCTTCGCATAAATATAGCGAGATTTAATACAAGAAAATACATTAAAGAGTACTTCGGCGCTCGCTATTTTTTGAAAGTTTTAATTTTTTTTATTTTCATTTTATTTTCCTTTTTTAAAAAACAATTGAATTTTCTCTTTTTTTTTTTCATTTAAAAATCTTGAGAAAAAATCTGGAGTCCAGAGTCCAGAGTCCAGATTCCAGTGTCCAGTCCTGGTTTTATACTATGCCAGAGAATTGACCTGACTGGCACTTGACTGCGCTATAATATCCAAATAAATTTCCGAGTACTGTCGTTATTATTGAGTTTTAAAAGCTTATTAATAATTCATAAAGAGAAAAAACAGCAAAAAAAGATTATTGAGTGCCTTTATATATCTGATAAAGACACGGCTAAACTTAACCTCCAATTTTGTAGTCTGAAATAACCCCAAATCTAAATATTATTGCAAGAATGAGTTGATTTATATCAGAGATTTTGAAGCCGTTCAAAAAACTCGAAGTCGTTTTTATCAGGTGTAAAAACTTTAGGCGAAACTCTTGCTAGTTTTTTTAAACAGTTCATAACCAGACCACAAGATACGTTTAACTTGACATGACCTACTTTTCATTTCGCTACTAATTATAACATTCATCATTTCCTATCAGTGGGACTCGTCAACTTTTCCAGCAGGGTTTGGTTCGTTGGACGTTTTTTCTGGCTTGGGTTGGCCTGGGATGTCTACATGGCCTCAGCTTCTTAAGGCATATTTTAAACCCAATAACGCACTTTTTAAATTTCTACATGAGGAAAAAAACAAACTGAGTGATTTTTATAGATTTTGTTCAGTTGTTTCCCGTCACTTGGTGAGTTTTTCATTAACCGATGATTAAATCACTCATTGTCATTTGATCCCCCAAAATGGTGAAAAAGCTACTTGACAAAACATTTCTTATAAACAAATTTCTGAATTTCCGGTTTGAGTGATTGAACCTGGTTTCCATATGATCGTCCCCATCGTCCCAGTCGTCTCAAACAATAGGGAACTTACGATAGAGACGTTCCGGGGTGACGGCGACCGGATTGGCAGAGCAAGCCTGGAACAGAGGTAGCCGTCGCTTCCGTCCAAAATTCAAAGATTAAGATAGCAGTGAACTCAGGAGGACGGCGCCTTGGATGACTACCGAAGAGGAAACTATGACCTCACATAAAGAATTAAGAGAATTAATGCTTATTTGCTTGTATGCAACAACAATAACAACAACAACTTTATTTCATTATTCCCACGTTAGTACGTGGTATTATTACCTACTATTCTAAACAATTTTCAATACATACGTTTTATTTATACGATACTCTAACGAAAAAAGTGAGCTAAAAACACACTATTGAAATATCGGAGTTCATACTTTTTGTCTGGATACTTTCATTTGGTTCGTAGGACAATTTTGTCCATGTAAAGCTCACTTACGGTTTGCTATTTGCCATATTGGATCAGATTGGAACTTGACTCTGTCATAGGCGTACGGGCCGGGGGGGCGAGGGGGGCTGCAGCCCCCCCAAAGTTTGGGCAACTCAGATTTTTTGGGCAGCAAGAGAAAATTTGGGCAAAGCCAGTTTTTAAAGACGTTTCCATGTGTTTTATTTTTATCATTATTTTGAAGAGATAAATATTTCCTATTTTAACCAGAAGTCGGAGTAATAATTCAGTTACGTTCACACGAGACAGTGGTTGCCTAGCACGTGATGAGTTTCTGGTTATAAGGGAAGGGTATCATATGCGGATTTTTTTTTTTATTGTTGGGCACTGTACTTCACTGCACGAGCTAGAATAGGCTATTTCCAGTCGTGAATTGATTAGAATAAACTTCCGCATAACTTTCTAGAATCACCTCCGCTCCTAGAACAGTTTGTGGCAGAACACGCATCAGCAATTGGTCTGAAAGTGAAGAAGTGGCTGACTAATTCTCAGTTTGAATTACGAGAAGAATCATAATTTTTTTGAAAAAATCTATCGAGCGGTTTAAAAATTATTCATTAATTTGTTTAAGTAGACCGAAATGTTTACAAAACCCCTAACAAGATCGAGCGCTTATCAAATCCTTCTTTATAGCAATTGGCAGGAGCTATCTCCATGATCTTTCGCACATGTTTTTAATGAGGTGAAAATGCATGTTAAAAGCGTTTCGTTTTCTTCAGATTGCGACTAAAAATCAAGATTTTCCTTTTTTACCTTATTTCTAACAATAAAAACTTCATCCCAAAATATCTCGATAACGCTCTTACAGTTCCGTTTTAACTTCACGAACATCGAGGCGACTATTGGAGGAAAGAGCTCCCCTGAACGATTTTGTAAGAACAGTTACCAGTGAGAAATATTGCTGCAAGTAGAATAAGGTAATGGCGTCATTTCATTGCTATGACAGCTCCGATGTCATTGCAACCCTGATCATGACAAATTTCCCTCTTTATCTAATACAACTGTCGTGTCAATTTTTTCCAAATGCTTGTTTATGGCGACGAAGTTTATGCTCAAACTTGGCAGGTATTGACTCTGAAAAACTGTATGGAGCCACTTTCATATGCCAGTACGGCCTATTTTGTTGCATGGCCCTAGTTTCCTTTCGACTGTTTTGTAAAAATTTGGGCAACTTGCAAGAATTTTTTGGGCAAATGGATTACCGCCCCCCCTGGCAAAAAATTGCCCGTACGCCTATGGACTCTGTGACGTGAAACATAGAAACATCATAAAGATGTAAGTTTAGATAACAGAGCTTGGAAATCGAGCGTGAAATGTGACTCAAAGAAAACAAGGACAATTTAAATCTGCAAAATTCTGGTTGCTAAACGCAGCAAACCTTATCATGGAAATGAAAGTTAAATAACTCACGTTCTCGCCACAAAGCCAAACAGACCAGTTTCACGTCGCCGACGGGAGCACGACGGCAATGTGGTGAGCAAGAGCATGCGCAATATTGCACAAATCATGACGTCACGTCCGGTTGAAGTTGCCGTCGCCCCGAAAACGTCTTCATCTTAAGTTCCCTAATGTTCAGACGATCGGCACGATCAACGCTACCCGGACTATCGCAAACGACCCGGACAACTGAGACGACCTCGATCTTCTATTGTTTGACCCAGAGACATCATTAACGACCCGCGTCTTTTTTCTCAGAGGCGCTCGAGACGATTACATGGAAACTACCTATCGTCCCAGTTGTCCAGATCGTCTCCAATTTTTTTGAAAAGACTGGGGCGATCGGGACGATCCGGACGATCATATGGAAATCAGGCTTTACAACTCGATACCGGGCTCGAAGATTGCATCGGATAACACATTAAGGTCAATAGATCGAGGAAAACTTTTAAAATTTCCTAATTTATTGTAAAATTCAACGTCCCATTAATCAGTTTCAAAATGAAGACAAGGAAGAAGATCTTACAAGACTGAAGGCCAGGGGAAACTGGGTCGCAGACGTCCACTTGGCCTTGGACGGCTTGGTCGAGGACAGCTACTTGGACGGCTCGGTCGTAACCTGAGTTGATCAAAAAAGTGGGCGGCAGACGTTTCGTAGAGGGTTTGTATCAGGCTCTATTTTCGTTTCGCTTTGTAAATAACATTCCGGCGGGCATGGCGAAACGAAAAGAGAGCCTGATACAAACCTTCTACGAAACGTCTGCAGCCCACTTTTTTGATTGATTGACATTTGCAGAATCAGCCAACCAAAATTACTTCCGTTGCTTGTTTTTATAGTATGCAAAGTTTTCACGCGTGGGAAAAATGCAGACTGGCTGACTTAAAAAGTAGCTTTTATCTCAGCTAAAAGTAAAACAGTCAGCACAATCACATTTAACTTCTTGGGAGATTAAGGGAGACCTCGAAGGTTATTTCTGTTGGCGTAGACTGAAGGTAAAAAGTTTTCGAAAAGACGGCGACACGATGTTCCACTAGTTTTATTATTTTGGCTGGGCGCGCTGGAATTTAAAATACTGAAATCTCTATTTTTCCGTTGCCTTAATATTTTCCTCGACAATTTCCCCCGATTTTCAGTACATAAATCTTTAAAAACAAAAACAAACAGCCAACGAGCGGGGACACCAGTTTTCTTGGTTTATTTTTTACAAAAAGCGAAGGCAAACAACCAGTCTGTTAACACTGAAAATTCCTTGAACAGCGATGAGATATTTTTCGTCTAATACTTCACAGTTGGCGATTGAGGTTTCTTTCGCAGTGAGCCTCCGCTTGCGTACCCCGTTCAGCGAAGTCATTCCCGGCTAAACTTTTAAATGAAAGCAGTTTTAAGATGGGCAGTATTTTGATTTGCACCCGTTTTTTGGTAAATCAAAATGCACCTTGTTAGCGGTCAACAACGTGCAGAGGGATTCAACTCCGCGATACACTCACTTTCAGTAAATGATGCAAATCCTGAGAAGATATGGACAACCATATGAATTTTCTGAATTTTCATGGCACATATTAAGGCATATTTTCCTTCCATAAGACCATAAAACAATAAAAAAGACAGCAAAATCAATCCTTCTCTCCGCCGACGACGGATCATTCACGAAAACAACCACGCGAGGAATAAGCGCTTTCAACTTCCGGCGTTTCCGACAGCCAATCAGATCTTGTGGCATTGTTTTAACAGGAAATCAGCGTTACGGCCAAAATCTGGCGGTAACGAGCACAAACGTGAATGAGTCTGTATCAAGCCCAATCTCAGCGGTAGCCGTTAGAAAGAATGTATGAGAACCGCTCAAATTGGGCCTAATCTCAGGTTAGCTCGGTCGAGGAAGTCCCGGTTTTCGCTTAGACTTCAAGCACATCAAAAATTTTACAGTGCACTTGTAAATGCGTGTAAAGGAACGAAAATTGACTATAAGTAGGTTTTATAATGATAAAAGATCAGTTGTGAGATATTGATTTATCGATGATGCTACCCTTTTTCATTTCAGTAATAATAATAATAATAACAATAATAATAACGATTTATGGTCAGTATTTCTACATGGTAGCTTTACATCCGCATCTGCCATACTAACTAAAGAAATAGCTGTTACATATAATGTTACTCAACTGAATCACTCAAAACTATAAAAAAAAGCAACTATTTACATACATAATGCACTTAAAGACTGTTAAAATTGTAAATCTGAAATACCATGACAATGAGTAACCATAACTAAGAAACCTTATCAAGACAACTTAATATGAGCTTCAACTTAAGCGCATGCTGGCCCTGCACTTTAAAATTGTAAAACAATTATTTACAACTATTAAAGTCCGGACAGCGCCTTACAATTACATACGGGTAGGCCATTGAATAAAGTCGCTAACTTAACCAATGAAATTTGTATTAAACGCGCATTACTAGAGCGCAGTGCACGTTGGGGATTGTACCCAGGCAGTTACAAGTATTCGGACCAGGATTCAATAAAAAGAGCTTGATGTCCAAGCTTAGTCATGTTTAATTGAGTATTTTCTAGTGTAGGTAGCCAGCCGAGCTCAAGGACGTCCCTTTCTGAGCAGAAACCATTCAAGACAAAGCCAGTAGCAGCATTCTGAACGTGCTGTACTCTTTTTCCGCAGAAATGCGTGAAGTGGATATGTGACGGAGTTATAAAAGTTAAGTTTGAATGGGATGAGGCTTTGAATAAGACACTTCGTAGTTTCTTTTGGTGTCATATTCTTGATCTTTCTCGAAGTGGCTAGCACTTTATAGCATGATGATGTGACCTCATTTACATGTTCTGTCCATTTAAGGTCCTCAAGTTCGTAACAACTTAAACTTCTCTACCCTATCAACTGTCTTATCTTTCAAGGTGAGAGGTGGCGTGTATCCGTCAAGATTACGCACTTTAGACATCTGCTTGGTGGTAATAACCATCTGCTTGGTCTTGGTCTCATCAGTCAGTAGCAGGTTACTACCAGCTGCCCACGACTCGATGCTGCGGAGGATCATCTTGTAAGCAATCTTACATGTCGCCCGCTCAAAGATTGAAGAGTACGGTCCCAAGATCTGAGCCCTGTGGAACTCCAAATAGACATCTGCAAGACTAGATTCCTTGTGATCGACTTGTAAAAACTGTCGACGGCTGGTCAAGTAGCTCAAGATCCAAAGAAGAGCTGCCTTGGACAATCCAAGTGCATTTAGCTTACGTATGACAATAGAGTATTCGACCGTATCGAATGCCTTAGAAAAGTTCTCGAAGACGATGAGTGTTAACTCACCATTCTTTATTGCTCGAATTATGTCGTCCCTCATACGTAAAAGAACACTAGTGGTCGAGTGACCCTTACGGTATCTAAAGGTATAAGCATCCCGGAGCACCTGTTTCTAATCGATATTTCAAGGAGTTGACTTTAAACGAGTTTATCATAAACTTTAGAGATAACTGGTAGGAGAGCGATAGGTCGGTAATGATCAGATTCAATAGGAGACTCGACTTTCGGGATGGGCGCAACACGAGCGACCTTCCAGGCCCCCGGGAAAGAGCTGATTGTAATAAAACTGTTAAGGATGTGGGTCAGAGGCGAAGCTATGATATCGGCACTGAGTTTAAGATACTTTGCAGGAATATGATCGGCACCGGTTCAACAGTCAGATCTTGAGTTGTTAACATCTTCATCACCTCACTGTAAGTAACGGGGCGTAGGTTAAACGAGCAAGCAAGGTGCTCTTCAGGAAGGAAATAAATGAGGTCTAAAACGAAGTCTAATGTATTTGCCTCTGATTCTAGTAAGCGTTGCGATGTGGAGCTAAAGTGCTTGTTCGGTGCGTCAGGGTCCACTTTGATTGGCTGGGGACTGGGACATAAAATACGATGTATTTTTTCTTTGGGTTTATTGGAGGATTGGGCCCTCCTGAAAAAAGCACGGTTAACTGACTTGATCTCATTCTTGATCTTGTTGCGCACCTCACGAAATTTATTCCAAAAACTTGCTAAGTTTGTTTTGTGCGCTAATGATACCTTTTAGTAAGTATATTCCGTTCTTTTTGAAGTTTCCTAATGTCTTCCTTGTTCATTCAATCAAGTTCTACGTGGAGGAGCGTGCTTGTCTAGACAAGATTTAAAGAAAGAGTTAAAAATGTCTAGTTTCTCGTTGGAATCATCCACACTCTAAACGACGTTAAAAGCCTTTACCACTTAGTTTTTTCTTAAAGGCTGTCTCTTCGAATTCCTTTTCATCAGGGAGTAACTTGTAATGAGGTTGAAAAAAAATGACGTATTTCGTGACAACCATCAGTGAAGGCAGTTCAAACCTATTAATATATTACTCAATATTCAGGTGGAGGGATAATAGGTCGACACCGAGCTAATAGACACCGCCGTTTACTGTCTCTCGTAGTCTTACATAAAAAACCTAATCACAGAGTGGGTAAGAGAAGTCTAAACCAAATTTAAGGAGGTTTGTCAGGAACGTTTTCAAAATTCAAACAGTAAGAGCTGCCATCAAATTGAGTAAAACATAGAAACAACGGCTCAATACCTTAAAAGAAGGAGTAAACCACACAGCAAATACAAAAGAAGGAACGTATAGACAAACTTAAAGAAGCTTTTAACCGGAGGACTGAAAATGCGGTTTTTAGAACTGAACTTGTCAGCCAAAGTTCATTGTTGTTTTGTTTTGTTGTTGTTGTTGTTGTTATTGTTTTTCTTCCTTTAAGTTTTGATGTATTTATGCTTTGGGGGAGAGATTTATTTGATAAGAAGCCGTGATCTTGTCATTTACAAAAAGTAAATTCCTCGCTGACGTTAAGTTCCTTAGCGAATAAAAACGCGTCCTCGGCAATTTAAAAATATTAACCCAATGAACTAGACACATCACTGTCGTATGTGGAAAATTAAGTAGAGGAATGACAACTTACCTTAACATGAGGTCGGCCACTTGGACGGAACGAAGGCAACAATGGGCGTCATTCCCTTCATCAGCAAGCTCAGCAATGGTTTCATTCCCCTCTTCATCTAAGAACTCCTGGACTGCCTTATCCTCAAATGGCTCCTCAGCAAGGGTGGTGACTACCGCCCCGAGTAACAGAAGTGCAAGTAGAGATTTCATTTCCAAAACAATGCTCACTGCGCAAGAAATGTGACCAGCATTAACCCATGACGCTGATGAAAGAAAGGCATATAACAGTTGAAAAGCGCGGGAAAAACACACTACCTCATTTCTATTTAGTTTTTGTTGGCTCAAAGTTGGTAAATGTCTTATTCACTCTTATGTCAACAGCCGCCATGTTTATCTAACGTACACTTTTGTGAGCAGCCTCGTTTTGTTTACAACCTGTTTTAGCGAACGCGGTTTCTTAAAACTTCTGTTTATATTGTGCAAGACGTGAAGAAGATAAATATTTTATTACACGCCCGTAACATATAAGTGAATTATTTACTCCAGGTGCACCTTCGTATGTGGTCAAATCCCGAGTACCCTTTTTTGGAGGGAGGATGGTAATGAGCCAGCAATGGTTGTCACAGAGTATTCGAAGTCCCACTGATATGTACCGTGAGTCGTAAACAACTACATAACTGAAGTGCAATCTACTTTCAAAAGCAAGTTTTATTAGATTTTACCCACGTGACGTGATATAGAATAGCGTTTAGTGCGATCTTCTTAGTAAACACTCTTCATGAAAGGGTTTGGGCTAAGTTTACACGACACCGTCTATACGGGATAGCTTTTCTGCCAGCATGAAAACCATACCGAATAGACACCACAAGCAAAGCCAATTTTTTCTAAGAATCTGTGCCAATTTTAACGCTACACCGCCTGTCCACACTTAGAAAGAAGTAGTTTTGATAATAAACCCGCCTATTTTAACGGATGCAATAGAAACGTTCCAAAATAGTCGTTTACGATACTTTTTCTATCAGAGCAAGACAAAATCTACTAAAGAGATCCTTTTTTTGACATTATTTGGAAGAAGATAAAGCAAAAGGGCAGATTTTAATTTTATAAAAAGGGCAGCTTGAACACACAGGATACACTGGGCATAGCTGTGAGGTCCGTTTTAATTCCCCATGTTCACAAATCTGATTTTTACATAAAAGACTTGGATCATTTTTAAAGCAAGAGTTTTTAGAACATGGAAATGGCCTATAAACCCCTTTAGCCCAAAAATGCACAAACAAGTTCTCCAGACTGATCCCTATACTCTACTATAAGAAATTAGTTGAGAGAATTTGATAAAAATACATGACATATTTAAAACAAATTTCAAAATATTTTTAAAATTAGTTTTCAACGGCACTTTTAACATTTTTAAAAACACCGTTAAAGTCGGTCCAAAACAGTCAGTATAAAACCTATTTTATAACACCGGTTTAAAACAGCTTTCAAAAAAAAGTTAGCAAATACATTTTAAAAACTGTTAGATTTGGCACTTTATATATTTGATCCTTTATACCCTGGCATTCGAGCAAGCTGGTAAAAACCTGTAGGAAGAACAAGCAGCAATGCTTGAAGTTAAGCTCCATCTGCAAGACGATATATGTATCACGGGGTAAAGAGTTACCTGAGCCGACACTTAAGGAAACCTTTGGGCAGGCATGCAGCTCTCATATTTTGTTTGCCCGGGGGTGGGAGGAGGCACTTCTTGCTCCACTTACTTAACGACTTAGTCGAGAATGACTTGCCTAAGCCATTATTCAGTGGGCAAAGTAAGAAAATCGACTTAGGTTGCTGGGAGACTGCCCACCTACCCTTCCCCTAAGCCAACATTTTGCCCTGTTAGTGAGAAGTAATTGTAAATGTTGGCTTACGGAATGGGGTAGGTGGCAGTAATCTACTTGTTCCGGACTTTTTCGAGCCCTGAAGAAAGCGTTACCTGAGTCGACAAATAGTGAGTTTACGAAACAGGACGGCAGAAAGAGGAGGACGGCAAAACGCTTGTATGTGACAAACGTGACAGGGTTATTACTTGCGTGTTTTGTGGTGATTTTCACTTCCTTTAATGTTTTCTGGTCTTTCACAAAAAGATATGTTTAAAGGAGGGTGAAGTTCGGCGAAAAGTGTTTTCAAACAAAATTATTGTCAGCCTTGTCATACAAGGTTTGCCGTCTTTTTTCCTCTCCCGTCCTGCTGTGTAAGCTCACTATTAACGGACACTCGACCAACAATAAAAGCTATCCACAGGACGTAAGTGCACCGAAAATAAATAACATTTAGACTAAACAGATACACCATGGGACATCTACCAAATCAAGACAAGATTTGGTAAAACAATTTCGTACTGTACGCGAGAGGAATTTGTTTCAACATCATTAAATTACTCTATCACCACTGATCACTATCTTGTTACTATCATCAACACTACCATCATCATCACAATCAGTTTCATTGGCTCGTTCTTTGATAAACACATTTCTTACGGAAAGTGCAAGCGATAGAAGTAGAACTATTTTTGGAATTGTGAAAATTCTAATTCCTCATAAGGAAGTTAGTCTACGGACGCGGTTTTTCTTGTATCTTTTATCACAAGATAAAATATTATTACGTAAGTCAATCAAAAAAAAAAATCTAAAAACTAGATTCACCTTTTCCCATGCGCATGCATTCTGCGAGAGGTGAGGTTTACTTTACTTCCCAGTGGAAACAAATGTGTATGATCATTATTTGGCTAAGCTAAACCAGAGCTAAAAGGTAAATATTTATTCTCGCGTGCTTGTCGATTTTCGAAAAGAAAAGAAAAAAACCTCTGTTTACAGATTAAAGGAATGATAGCCTCACTATCTAATGAAAATTTTTCTTCTTTTCTTTTACTAGCAGGGGACTGTTTTGTACCAAGTTTTGCAGCTTTATTTTGTTATTAAATATTTACTCAACTGTGTGCTCTCTAGCTACCTTATAGCAACTAAAAGCTGTCGGAAGATGATATCGTTATTAGATATCAAATTTTGGCAAGAGTATGCAGATGTTTATACCATGCCTGACGCGCCATCATTGATCCTTACCGGCAATAAAAAAGCCTAAACTGCAACATAAGCCACTCGTGGCCCTGAGATGAATTTCATTTTTTTATGATTACGAAGAAAGATAATTTGGTTCCTTGTTTAAGCTTTCATACACAAAAAAGGCTACAATTCGCTAGTTTTTTGTCGGAATTTCGTGTTTACAAGTGAGAGCCTCTTATTATTCACAGAATTGCCTCCAGGTTTCATTTAAAATAGGTAATGCCGTCATTTTGTTGCTATGATAACTCCGAAGTCATTGAAATCTTGATTATAACAACTTTTCATATTTATCTAAGACAGCTGTGGTGGTAATTTTGCCCAACCTTCGTTTTATGGTGACGTACTTTATGCTCAAAATTCGGAGGTGTTCACCCTGGAAAACCCCATCGAGCCTCCATTCCCTGCAAAGCACAGGGCTGAGAGTTTTGAATTTTGTTTGCTTATCCTGTTTCTCGAAGACTCGGCCGTCTTTTCCCTATATTTACAGACGGTTGTTAACCAGTTGTTCCAGTTTATTTTTACGCACTTTAATTGTGGCCGTACTTCAACTTGTCTCCACCATTCAAACCAACATCCTTGTACAGCAAGTACAGTGGTGTATATCGTTACTTTTATTAATATCATCAATATAACTTTAATGGCTGGACGTTACACCGTTACTCCAATTAATTATAATTATTAATTTTTTTACGGGAAATATTGCTTCAAACATTATACTAGGGTCAACGAATGCGAATTTCTAAAATTATTACTTTATAGTTTATGATCCATTTTCTACGTCCTATAACGTGTTGTCAGTGTATGATAGCTCAACAGTGCCCACAATTAGTAGAAATTTAGCCCCTATTTAGCATCAAAAAGAATCAGAACCAACATGACTAAAAGTGTACAATATTGGACAGTACTTTTAAGAACGAGTTTAAGATTATCTCGTTTGCAGCAGTTAAAAAAAATGATATTAAAGCGAATTTCTACTAACTGGCTTTCAATGGAAAATACCTTAATAGCAACATAAGTTGCCACGCAATGAGTCACTTTATTAAGGGCCTGTTTAATTGGAGGTGGGGGACCCCAGGTAGGTGAGGAACGGTTTTAAAGACAAGAAACGAAAGAGAGGAACAAACGTCCTGAATAAAACCTCTTAAATAGTTTTAAAGAAGCTAGGTACAAAAGAGGAAACCCGCGACAAGGTAGCTGTCACAACAGTTAGCAAGCTAAGTCTGGATCAGGATCATAAAAAGCAAAGTTTTGAGATGCCTGAGATGGCCCAAAAAAAAAACCTTTACTCAGTCCGCCAAGCAACGTTCAGCTCGTCTCGAATTTGTAAAGAAGTACAGAAGCCTTACTGTGGATAAAAAAGGGGCCGGGATGATTAACTTTTCTTGGATCAATGCCCAAACTATTTTTTTTATAGCTGCCTGATCTAAAAAAAATTATTCTTTGGGGGTCGAAGTGGTTCCTGCATACCAGGTGATAAAAAAGCTGAAAATGAATTTTCCGGGGCTCTACATGCTACATGACTTATCCCACTCAATGCCGCAACGGCTACAGAGAGTGATAAAAAAGCAAAGGGGGCATGCCCGTTACTGAACTTCTGAAGTACAAACCCGATGAACAATTAACATTTTTTAAAAATTTCATGCAAAAGTAAAGTTTTTTCAAAAGTTTTAGCGCATTGAATCAGTAGAGGAACGAACTGTTTGGACACCCTGTAGTTTGCAAAGGTTTTTGTATTAATACTGAGAAAAAGTTTACAAAAGCCGTTTTACCTGAAGTAAAAGGTTTCTTTTCAGTCAACATAACGATTTTATCTTGCTTGGCAACCTCCCTCGTGCATCCATAGCTCGATGGCTGCACGACTGCAATGTTTGCCATTTCTCTTTCAATAGTTATAACGTCAATTTACCCTTGTCCGTTGTTGTACGCCAATGTAAAATGTCGTACTCGAGATAACACTTCACCATATTCCGCATTTTGTAGGGATAATTTCAGATGACCACGAGGGCAGTTCGAAAATGACGGATGGGAAACCTGACAAGAAAACAAAATGGCGGAATCCGTTTTTTTCCTCTCGCAGAGAAACAGAAACATTATTTTTCTACCCGTGCG